GATAAGTTGTGCAGGTATGTTGTGTGTCACATCTTTTTTTATTACTTTTATATTTTGTCCTAAAATTGATACGTTTTTGTGATCTTGCATGAATCAGTAAAGCAGCCTTTCAATAGTGCTATTTCATGAAAGAAAAGTAAATTATAACTGTAAAACTGTAAAGGTTTTTGACTGCTGAAGGCATTTAAGGTGTGATTCTCATTTCAGCATGGTTCCTGTATTGGCATGTGTGACACCTAGTGCTTTTTACACTGGATTAGTCAGTCCATTACCGGCGAAGACAGAAAAGCCTTAGTGAGGTCACCAACAAGAGCACATAGCTGTCAACATGCAATATGGCAGGATGAGAATATTTTCACAAAGTAATCCCCCTCTTTTCTCTCAATTCATCACTGGCATAGTAGTGCAAACCAACCTCACAAATGGTTATAAATAACTAAGGGCAATAAAAGCATAGTGACATCACAAAAAGCCACAAGAACTGAACGCCAAATCTTGAAATGCAACCTTAAATCTCACAATCTTTAAGGAGTGTAAGATGAATTGTTGAGTGCTGTGAACGCAGAAAAGTCCAGTCTGATACATTGTCCAAATATAACAAGTCTGCCCCGACAAGCACACACACACAAGCACCGACAGATTGATTTGTGGGAGAGGAAATGATAAGTTGGTGATTTTGGCTCTGGGGCTATTTCACTAAGATAGACAGATATTCGGAGGTAAACATGGGACTTGTTGGATTAAGATCCATTTAAGTTATTAAGTCACATGGAGGAGCTGTCAACTGGCTCTGGTAGTCTAGTATGAAAGGTTACGGCACAAAGTTTGCAACATTGCAGGTTTTAAACTTAGTCCATCATGCAATGTGGGTGTAAGAGAAAGCAATAGAAGGAGGCAGAAAGACAGAAACTATGTAGCCAATTGTACAGTCTTTTAAATAGACCCCTCACTGTGGTCAGTTGTTATCATCGCCTGTTGAAAAGCATCTCTGGGGAGGCAGGAGGCAGCCATCACTGATGCAGTTCCAGGAACTGCATTCTTCCTCGAAAAGGTTTTAATATAGATTAGCTGTCCAGTGATCTTGTTGTTGTCACAGCACAACAACCACGTGTGATTACCAATTCTTCAAAACCTGTTTTTATCTTCACAGACATTTCTTAATAATGCTCTAAAGGCACTATTTATCCTGTGGTGACATTCAGATGCTTCAGACTAAGCATGGAAGAGAACCCAAAGAAATTCAAATTCTCATGAAAGGTATATATATTCATCTAAAACATAAAATGTATTGCTGCTATCTACATATACATAAACAACATAAATTAGAGAGAAAAATAATTAATAATAATAATGTCAAATCTAAATGACCTATTCTGACATCATTTTGCAGTTTATACATGTAGTTTCTGAATTACCCAAGATGCACTCTGGTCAGTACTCAGCCTCGACCCAGGGGCTCTTAAAACAGAGGTACAGATCCAGATCTGTCATGAGTGGGTGTGGTCAGGGGAGCTGACCTGTGACATGATGCATCTATTCTTGGTAGCTTAATGCACATGCTCCCCTGGGCTGCCTTCCCTTAAATTATTTTAGCAGCGGATCCTGTAAATGGGCTGCCCTCAGAAAGGTTTAAATATTGATTCACTGGGTTATAAATGTAACTGGGAAGTAGAAGGCAGCTATTTTCTGTCTCTACACATGAGGGACCTTGTTCTTGAAACTCGTTTGATCCGTAAAACAAGTAAATGGATTTAAAAATAAATGGTTTTAATGAGGATTAACGGTAAATGGGGTGCCTTTGCAGGCTTTTCAGCAGCACATCCATTAAATGGTTTCTTTACTAAAAGGCATAGTGTTAAGGTAGTCTAGTGCTTACAGAGACAATTGTGTAACCAAACTATTATAGCTTACACTTCCATTACTCTCTTTTACTCTATAAATAGCCACTTATCTCTTAGCGAGACCCTTACTTGCTTACCCTTACAAGAGTTCTTACTGAAATTCACTCTGAATAAGAGCATGCATACTAGCCTAGATGTAAATTAGACTGTTACACTGTCTGGCTCTTTTGCTGCTGCGTATTACAGTGTATGACTGTGTATAGAATTATTTGGAAAACGTTGCTTAATGAATGCAGGATAAGATCAAGGTACTGCAGACTATCAATAAATATACTTGATGAGAACTTAACAACCTCTTTATTTCACACTGTCGGCATTTGCTAAAATCTTTTCCTTTCTTCTCCAAATATCTCCTTTTATGGAATGTGTCAAACTGGAATGCAATGGTAAAACATTTCATTGGCACTTTGAGAAGCAGCACTGTCAATCTTGGCCTGTTATAAAACTGTTTTTCTACAACGTAAAAAAAAAAAAAAGAAAGAAAAAGAAATGGTGAGAACAATTTGCAAAAACAGCGGTCCCTGGGCAGATTGCACTGGACATACAGTTGTGGTTAAAGCTACTTAACCCTAAGATGCAGTACCTGTACAATGTGATAATACCGTGACTATGACTTGCCATGAGCGAAACATGCAGTATATTCACATATGTATAGAGCTTAGCAACAGCTGCTGTTAGGGTAAGTGTGGTTTGGCAGTAGTGCTGCGTTCTCTAATAACCCCTACTCTGTGGTACCTTCTTAAACCCAACTCTATGGTTAGGCTGGCAGAGAGCGATCTGTGTGTGTGTGTGTGTGTTTCTGTTTTGTGTGCCAGTGTATATGAGCATGTGTGTGTGTGTGTTATTAGCGGTCAGAAGCGCTGCCCTTCATCACCATAAACTGGATTTAATAGGTTGGATAAGATTAGGGTTTGGTTTGATTCTTGTATCTAGACTTGAACTATATTGTTTGTGAGGAGTGAGTCATGTCTTACGTAAGATGTAACAGCCACAGACAAATGAAATAGAGACGTACATAGATACAGAGGGGGGAGGGAGAAAAACAAATAGTAAAGGATGAAGGTATGATAAGAATGAGGGCGGCAGAGACGCAGATCTAGATAAATGACCTGTGGAGTGACATCATATGTTTCATGTCATACAGACTGGCTGTCATCAGCCCTCAAGTCACCTAACAACAGTGCATGGATTCATTCCCGTGCACTGCAATATCACCTTGCAGTCAGTCACATGCACCCACTCAACCTCCTCTTCCTGTCTTCTGCTAATTTACATTTTTTATTTCTCTTTCATTCTCTCTCCTTTTAGAGACTCAAAGTTCAATAAGTTCACTCAGTTTAAGTCATCCCAAACCAGATGCACTCGTGTTATATTTTTTTATTTAAAATCTTAGAGAAACTGACACATAATACACAGTTTTTTTTAAAAACTGTGAACCAACGGGGTATGTTGGACGGATGAACGTTTGTGTTGATTTAATTGGCTGAAATTTTTGTTTACACCTACTGATGCACAAAGAAGTGATGGTACACTGGTCCTCAGATATAGAAATATAATAACATTCTTTGTTTCTGGCTTAACTTTTGGCAGATTTATTGAAAATATTTCACGTATTTGAGCTTAATTTTTTAGATGTGACCTGACCTTAATTACTCAAAAACATAGTATCCACTTACTGTACACGTCATGGTCTTAAGTAGACCTATAACAAACATTTACTATATCAGCGGTCAAAACTGTCCCAGTACTTACTCGCACTCCTGCCAATGTCTTGAAACCTCAAACCATATAACGGTCATTGTGATACTGCAGTAAAGGTCAGAGTGGGCTGCTGAGACAATTATAGTTAAGTTACTGCCAACTTCTTTGGGAATAAGAAAACTGTCCGACTTCACCATTTATTTCCATTTATCATCTTTTTACATGCATGATTCCTTTTTTGCAATTCAGAATATTACTCATAATTTGTTATTTCAGAGGTGACAGTGCAATTGTTTGTACAAAATTGCTTTTGTATAATTTTAGCATGTCTCTTTTTTTCTCACTTTCATTTTCTATTTCTGTCTCCTGTCTGTCATTTTTCCCCCCTCTCAGTTAGATAACACACGCTCCAAGACGCAAACACACACACAAACACACAGCTGTGGTAAGAATTCACATGGCTTCAGTTAGTGGGAAAAGTATCACATCCAAAGTAATAACACAAACATGGCAACCCAAAGCGGCCTCGAGGGGGATTGGCACAGGACCTGGCAAGCCATTCATCATCAGTTTCATGTTGCCATAAGTCTGTACACTGCCAATTTGTCTATGTGTGCATGTGAATATGTTGCATGTGTATATGTGGGTGCAGTGCATGTATGTGTCATTTTGTGTGCGTACCAAAGAAGCCGCACTGTCCCCATAACAGGAGCCTAAGCAAACTTTAAAAAAAAGGATTTATCATGTTTCAGGATCGTACTATAGTACTAAAGTGATGAGAGAAATGTACTGTGTCTGTGTGAACGTTAATGTGTGAATGAACGGCAGTTTGGGAGGGCAACAAGAGGTAACGTTAGGAGTAGACACTGAAAGGCATTGAAACCAAGGGACCATCAAGTTACTTGTTCAAGCACAAGGGACTGAAGCCAAGATTTGTGTGCCAGACCTTTGATTGCTGCACTTTCACTACAGACAGTGAAGTGGAATGCACAGAGAGCGAGAAAGGGGTTTCCTGTGTGGTCAATACATGACAGATGGCATATGATTCAGCTGAGCTATCACAAGTGTGGCGATGGGGGTTGAGCCAAGGAGACACTAGAAATGCGGCGAGGTGGTGAAAAGATGGAGAGGGAAAGGGAGAGGGAAAGGAAGGAACTAAAGCATGAAAATCAGTTTTCATCTTTTTAATCACTTATCGGAACATATGGCGTCTCTGGGATGCCATTCTACAGCTGCACTGCCATGAATGAGTGTATATGCATGTGTGTGCGGAGATGAAACAGGGACATGTGCTTTTATCGCATCATAGATAATACTAACAAGTGTGTTGGAGTAGACATATCATCATGTTTGTGTCTGTCAAAGTGTGTCCACTTTGTGCGTGTGTTTTTGTCTTACCCTGGAGATGGTGAGGGGCATGTTGAAGTCCTTCCCTCCCTGCAGCCTGAAGCCCCAGGGGGCAGGGCCTAAGAGAGTGGCGCTGTAGTTGCTGCTCATGGTCTCCTCGATGATGTCAAACGCGTTCTGTGGTGCTGGCAAGTGATGATCCCGATGGCCCGGAAAATATGTTGCAGATCAGGTGATATTGATATGTTTTTTAAGGATTTGATGATGGGGAAGAATTTTGGCCAGAAGTGCTACGTCTCCCTTTAAGATGCTGTTCCAAGATCTGAGGGAACATATAAAAAAAAGCATACATTGGATTTGTTATTGCATGGTTACGTAAGAAAAAAAGGAAGTGAGAGGAAAGATTTAGTGATGGATGTTCAAACGAGGAATAAGAGGGGTCAAGAGGACAAGGCAAAGGGAGGAAACGAGAAGCACAAGATGAATTAAATTTGAAAAGAATATATGTATTATCCCAAAACCCACGATAGTTACGTTAAGCAAAACACACAGAAAAATCCAGATATACAACATGAATTGGACAAAAATCAGTTAGATTAGAAATTGCATTATACACACTTGTAAGCAGGTGAAAATATAAACACACACATGCAACAAAATAAAATATTATGTCTCACTATGCTAGAGTATGCTGCAGCAGTTAAAGTAGCATTAAAGCCTTACAATACCCCCCAAGAAACCCTCACCAGAGGACAATTACACAGCTAACATTAATGTAATTGCAGCACATTTCCTACTATTTAGTGCTATCATTATGTGAAAGGAAAACGCTGTACCTCTTTAATGGAAATTCCAGAGAGAAAAATAATTCCTTCACAGGCAGGTAGACAATGTAATCCCTAGTTTCCCCTGGACTATCCCCTTCCCAGCAAACACACTGTATGTGTGTGAGAGAGGTAGAGAGGGATGCAACGCTCTTATATACTAGCTAATGACAGAGGGGAGGGGAAAGGTGGAGGAGGGGAGAGACGAAGCGAGAGGAAGAACGGGTAGAGGTTAGGTTGGGAGGAGAGAGGGAGGAGAAAGAGGAGGGGAATAGCCCATGGGTGGAGTGAGTGGAACATAGAAGAGGAGGAGAAATGAGGGAGATGATATGAAGGGGGAGATTAGGGGATGGGAGGAGACTCAGAAAAAAATAGAAAAAAAGGGGGGTGACAGGGGGATTAAGAAAAAGAGTGTGGGAGCACTGCACACAGAGAAAATGACAAGGGGAGGGAGAGGGGGGCGGTTTATCTTTCATCCGTATATTTTGGGAACATGGACTCATGCAGGCTGCTTCATTTAAGCGGTAACCAGATCGTGACCCGAGAACACATCCCAAAGGCTTCAATTAAAAGGTCTCTCAAAGGTTTCCTGTAAGTGACACATTGGGGTGATAGTGATTGGATACAAGCTCAGGATCACCTTGTTCAACTCCTGTAACATGGTTGTGTCACTACTGCTGCACTGATGCCCCAACTACAAGACTATAAGTGAAGCCTTTTGGAAAAACAATGTCTTTACATTGATTTTCCAATTGAATCTCATCTTTATGAGATTCACCAAAGTGATTAACTAATCTCTTTACATTTTGGCAAAGAGATGTAAATTTGTTGGTTACGTAAGCAATCTAGTGCCTAAGTGCAGTGCCGTCATTTCAATCTTGTTTATTTATCAGTTTCCTCATTATTTATGTTAAGGCAGCTGGCACTTCTTTACTGGCTTTTGTCCATTCCCCTATTCTAGCCCAGACAGTTCAATATTGACTTTGTATTTAGACTGAAGTGGCTCAATTAAACACACAATCCCATTTCTTTCTTGACCCTGACCACACTCACACACAGGCAGTACATTTTGCCAAGTCATAGCCAATGCACTTCAGTCAAAAAAACGATTTCCCATGAAAAAGCAACAAATATCGAAGAAGAGATGGGGAGCGGAAGCTTGAGAAACAAGTTGGACATGAACTTAGAAGAGAGTACAGAGGCTGGACAAGGATTGTACAATCTTTAAGAGAGATAAAAAGAGAGAGTGCACATAGGAGTAAGATGGGGAATGAAGCAGGCTAACATTTGACCTTTGCACCATAAAGCAAGCTGAATATTGCATTTAACCTGCCTCAAACACTTTTAATAAGATAACATCATGATGGATACGCAGTATGAGCAGATAAAATACTTGCACAAACACAGGATGCTCTTCATTAGCTTGCTAATGAACGTTCCCACAGTGCGCCTAACACAGACAGTGCACACTTCACCAGCACAGCCAGGTTTAACAATGGCATAGCAAATCCTGGAAGGAGCAGAGACGGTAGAGTCATTAACCCTGTTTCCGCTGCAGAGCCGAGGGGGTCTTGATGGGGTTAGAGCTAACTTAAATTTTACAGCAAATGTAATTACAATAGGCAAAGTGTTTAGGCAATTGCACAGATGGATGCTCATTCCTGTTGTAAAAAGGACTAAAAGCATTTTTATATGGGGAGATGAAATGGGTAATGAGTGAGCCCTGGCTAGCCTTGTTTGATGTTATAGTGAACACAATGGGACTCAAGGTTTTTCAGACCTGTCTGCCCCCTATAGAAACCAGGTTAATGCTAGCAGTCTCTGTTGTTAAATGTATTAAAAACACTGCACAGCACACTGCTGATAAGTTCATTGTTGTTCATGTAGTATCCTGCTACAACCAGCCACAACAACAGTTAATATAACATAATTTTCTTCCCTTTCAACATGTAAAAAGTCAAAGTCAGCTTTATTGTCAAATCTGCTATACATGAACGACATACAGCACAGATGAAATTTCAGTCCTCTCTGACCCACGGTGCAAAACAGGCAATATAAAAAATAACACTTCAAGTATACAAAAAACATAAATAAATAGTGCACAGTTCTAATTAAGTGAGTGAATAGAAAAGACATAAATAGACAACAGTCTTCAATTAATGTAAAGAAAAGATTATAATGGTGACAAATACATTATTTATGATGGTGTGGCCAATGTTGGCAACTATAATAGTGGATCACCGTTAAGAAAAGATTAAAGTTAAAGAAACTCAATACTGTCAAAGTTATCCACCACTCCTGGTTGTGCTATAAGAACATGACTATCTCCTATTTTGGCACAGAGTTTGAACTTTTCCAAAGTTTTCAGCAGTGACATCAAGCTATAAAAGCAGCAGAGCACCATATGCACAGATTGCCTCCATAGAAGGCTTAAGACCCTGTACCTGGCCGCTTTGTCATTCTTTTTAGGGCTTGGTTAAGTAAAATGTCCCATTAGGGTAATAACGTTCATCTGGTTTACAGTCACAATAAGGACTAATGCCGAGGATTTAGAGGTAGTTTGACCTATTCAAATCCACTTTAAACAAAATGTTGCACGGATGTTAACCCTGGTTACTACAGATCATGCTTTCTCACAGGATCATGTATACATTGAAAACAATAGAACAAGAAAACTGCGCACAGATCATTGACTTGAAGTGGATGGTATCAGTACATCCCCATAAGTTTCCTGCCCATCTTTATAAGGGCAAAAACAAAAAGAAAAAAAAAATAGTTGAGAGTGGAAGAAAGATTAAAAGGTCCTGTAAAGAAAGGATTTGGATAAGGATTCAAATGAAACAACCTTACAACTAACAAGCAAAACATTGATTCATATAGAATGATAAATGAATAAATAACTGTAAACTCCACTTTGGTCATGTTTCAATGTCCCATTCCCGTGTGACAAGAGTACTGGTTTTGAGTCCCATGAAGATATAATTTCTAAAAGATGGGCCCTCCCATGGGCCCACCAGTCAATTTCACTGTATTAAAACATTTGATCAATTACTTGTATTGTCAAAAATGGCCAATGGCCAAAATCTGCAAGAGAGAGAACAAAGGAGATTTGTGGGCCACCGGATAATGATATCAAACACTAACAATAGAGAGTGTGCTATAGCAGGAAACCTCAGACACCCTGCCAGTCCTTTGTTCTGTCAAATGGTCTATTCCAGTCCCCATATGCTCACCTCTCCACATGCTTAATGATCACAGCTTAGCAGCCCCCAGCCAAACACACATGCTCACAAACACACCGAGACAAGCTCCACCCCTTAATGGTACGATAATCTGGCCCTCTAAATGACATTTAATGCATCATCCACGTGAATAAAAGGGGGACATCCACCCCCCTATTCTGCCAGCCCCCCCGGCGCTCACACACACACACACACACAACTTGGAGGGACACAACATACGTACAATCTCTCTCATGTGTAAATCATGTTTCAGGTCAAAACTGAAGACCACAGCTGTGGTCTGAATAGCATTAATTCTAAATTAGTTTAAAATCCTTTCAGTCAAATTTAGAATATTCAAAATTGCACTATAAAAACAGGCAACTCCTAGGTATGAACGTGCCAAACTGTATGATGAAAAATGATTTGATTATTCTGCAAACCCTCCTTATATACCAGGTTTAAAAAGGTACAAGTTATTTTATGTTACAAGCCGAATGATTCTGCCTTACAAGATCATAACAAAGCAAATGTACACTGATACCTTGGGAAGGCAGCTTTGTTTAGTGGAAAAGTAAAAGAGTGGAAATTGCAGGTATTTTCCTGTCTCCTTCAGTTAGACTGAGGGAGGAAATGGGCAACATGCCAGCCTAAATAACCTACAGAGAACAACAAAAAACTCCACAATCACACAAATCATTCTGTATATTAACATTACTTTCACTCACAGGTGTCCACACACGTATTTACAGGTAGACAGACAAACACGTGGAAGGTTGTTTACATAGGGGAGAGTATTTGTCTGCCGGCCATCTAATCAGTCTGACCCCTCCAGACTGATATAAGCCCAACTAATCCCCCAACCCATCTCTGTAAATACTGCGCAGTTAGGGGTCGGGTTAGTGCAGCAGCCTTTTCTTTCCCAAGGTTTTTTCAAGTGTAGTTGGTAAAAAGGGTTCCTGTCCAGGGATTTAATTCGCAGGATGGAATTTAGCTTGCTGAACCAGTAATGGTAGCATTTTACCCAGATAAGTAGAAATTGATGGTTATTAGTTAATAGTCAAATACATCTAATGGAAAGCATATATAGACATCAGACAGACCAGCACAGCTTTTACTGTTTACAGAATGTTTCCCCAATTACTTGTTAAGCTATGAAAATCTATCTTAAAAATATTTTCTGTTTTAGTCTTGAAAAGGATCGTTTTATATTGGTCTGGTTCAAGAAGTCCTTCATGCCATAGGTTGTTAAAAATCTAAATATTTTGTTTTGATATAAGAGATATAACTCTGTGCTAGGTTGTAAATATCCAAAATTCAGTGTAATGGGGAAATGTACAGTACATACCCAACAAATTCACAAGTTATTAGTGATAGTCACATTTTATACAGAAATACTGAAAGCGTGCCTGGAAGAGATAAGCTTATAATCAGAACCCTGTATCTCCTGTCTGAGCTCAGTCACTGTTTATAACTGCTCGCTTTCACAGTGGAAAATATTCCTCCCTGTTTGCCAGCCAACCAGACAGACAGAGATAGATAGACAAGCACACTGGGAGACAGATAGCTCAGCCCAAACAACTGTCCATCCGAAGAAAGATAAACTGAGAGAAATGTGGCTTCAGCCACACAGAGACATGAACACGCAGGTGCGCGCGCACACACACACACACACACACACACACACACACACTCACACTCACAGACCACAAATGTACACACAAGTGCTTAATGTTTGAGTCAAGTCTAGGTCAGTCAAAGAGAGGCATTTTAAAAGCAAAGTGTAATGTTGCCTCTGAGACAGACAGTACACACATTTCAGAAAGACCATTAAGACTTCTGGGATCAGCTGCTCTTAATCATTCCTTCCGCCCCCTATTTGGAAGCAGAAATGATAAACAGTCGAATCACTGATCTCTCCTTTTTTGTAGCACCACCCTCAGGCATAC